TCTCCCCCTGGATACCTCTCCATCCATCCCAAAGGAAGCTCAGTGCCCCGTGCCCGGCCCCACTCGTGTCGTCCCGTGGTGAAGCGTTTCTGAGCCTGCCGTCGCCCCGAGGCCCCCCCAAAAACCTTCTGGGCCCCCTTCCCAAACCCTTTGGGGCCTCCCCAACCCTCTGAGCCCACCCCGAACCCTCTGGACTCCCCTAAACCCTCCAGGCCTCTCCAACCCTCTGAAGCCCACCCCAACCCTCTGGACTCCCCTAAACCCTCCAGCCTTCCTCCAACCCTCTGAGCCCACCCCAAACCCTCTGGGTCCACCCCAAACCCTCTGGGCCCACCCCAAAACCCTCTGGACTCTGTGTATATTAATGACTGTGTCTCGTGACGTTCTTACAAGCTTGGTGTATAGTGATTTCCCCAAACCTCTTGATTTTAGTTGGGCTTTTTTTATTTTCCACCCCCTGGATTGCCCCCCCTGTCCCCTGCCATTAGATGCACTGCAATATTTTGGGGTCTATGGTTTTGTTCTCTCTCCCCCCGAAGGCTGTGACCCCCCCTTTTCCTTCCCCCAAATTGCTCTTTCTTGCCTCGTTGGTGGTTAGCCCCCCCTTCCCTCCCTGTCTGCTCCTTGCCCATAAAGTTAAATATATATTTTTAGGGCAAAGGCTGTATCATTGCACTGATATTTGTTGGTTCCCCCCTCGGTCCTCCCAGCCCGTTTTTGTTCCTTCTTGGTTTAGCAATGCAAATGCTTCAGGATCTTGTATGTTGGACATTATTATAATTATTATTATTATTTTTTTTTCTGTTACAGTTATTTATATAAAAAATAATTTATCAAAAAGGAAAACTTTAAAAAAAAAAAAAATAATCTAGTCTGTCTTGGAACTTGTTTACCTTGAAATTACTGGAATCTAAATGTTTGAAAGTGTTGAAGCACAAACATGTATCATCTCTGTATATCTGTTCTTCTGTACTAAAGCACTCGAGTGACTAAATAAAAGCGATCTCCATCCCTAGTGCAACTGGGGCTGTGCTGTGCCACTCGTTGGGGGCCAGGAAAACAGGGAAAAGATGTAGGGAAATACCCCACCCAGCCCCACATGCCTCCAAGAGAGGGATCCTGGCGTGGTGATGCCAAAACTCCCCCCGAGAAATGGCTTTGGAAAGGAAAATAAGCACACAAAGTCATCCAACCACATTTATTTCCTTCAAAAATAGGTGATTTCTTAGTACAAAATACCATCCCAGTGGCTCTGCTGGGCGTTAAAAAATAGGGGATAAGGAAAAAACCCATTATTTTTCTCCTGGCTGCTGCATTTGGGGTAGTTAAACGTGCTTCCCATTGTACCCTGGCTGGGCTGGGGGGGGGGTCACAGCTTCCAGTTTGGGACACAGGCACGAGCAGAGGCAACCAGAGACACAGAAATCCTCTTTAAAATCCCCCCAACCCACCCCTGTCCCCCCAAAAAGGGGGGGGGGGACACAACAGTCCCATTCCCAGCCCCTCCCTGGGGGGTGCAGGATCAGGCTCAGGGATTGCTCAGGAAGGCTCTGGACCTGAGGAACTCTCTGGGGGTGGCACTGATCCCAACCCCCCCAACTGGGGGTCTTTGTACCACAAATAAAAGCAAAAATAAATACGTTTGACACTGGCACTTCAGGTAGGTCCTACAGATAAACAGAGCTGGGGTGCCACAGGAGGTGCTGGAGGGGTTTGACTGGACCCATCCCAGGAAAAGCTGCTCTGACCACATCAAATTCCTTAAAAAAAATAGGCATTAACTCATTACAAACCCAGCTGGGAGGGACAGGGGCTCTGCAGACCCCTCAGCACCACGTCTTGCAGGGTGATTTTTTCCCTCTACCAGACTGCATTCCCTGGGAATCCCAGGGGAAAACCCCAAACCCTTCGTTTCATTTTCATCCTGGATGATGCTGTGGGTGGCCACATCCAGGGATGTGGGCAAAAAAAGCCCCACAAATGCCCTAAAGGTTGTGCTGGAAATGAAAACCAAAATATATATATATATATACATATGTATCTATGTAAAGATGTATCTATAGATACAGATCTGTGTATATACAGATTTATATAGAGAGATATCTCTGTCTTTCTAGAGATATATATCTAAATATAGATAGACATGGATTTATCTCTGTCTAGATATATCCATATATAGATACATATATATAGACACACACATTATATATCAATCAACCCTCAAAGAGTGGTTTAGCTGCTTTACTGGCTGTCTCAGGGAAAAAATAAATCACAAAAATCCCACACAAAGAAGGGTTTCCCCAGAAAGGATCCCGCTGGGTTCAAGTCCAAGGGCAGAGCAGGAGGGGGACACGTGGGTTGAGCCCCCCCAGGAGGCCTAAAATCTGGGAAGGGGATGGAATAGGGAATCACAGGTATTTCTGCCCATGCAGGCACAGAGGTAAACACAGCTGCCAAGGGGGGCTCGACCTGTGCAGGACCTACACCAGGTCACAGCAGCCCCAGAAGTGCTTAGGTTGGGGTGGCCACTGCCTTAGGGGGGGACACGGGGCCACCCCCTTGGTCCCAGGGGATGGTGCTCATTCCCCAGGGTGCTGCAGGTCCCAGGGGACCCCTGCCCACACCTTCCCCCCTCCTGCAGCTTGAGTGGTCCTGAAAACAGACAGACAGACAGACAAGCGATGCAGGAACTCCAAGGCAAGCAGGAAGGGGGTGTGGAGTCAGGGCAGGACCCCCTGGAGATGCCTCCAGCCCCGATGCCCCCGGATCTGGCACTGGGAGCACCCAGTGCTGGGATGCTGATGGTGGGGGGACCATCCTCCTCCTCATCCCTGCCTGCTGCGAGGGCAGGGGTGGTTTGGAAGGTGCCAGTGGGACCCTCAGAAGAGGCAGGAGCC